CAATGTACCATGTTAGGTTGACCTCCACGCGGTTCCCCCTGGAAACCATCGTGATAAATTACTGGTGAATTTGTCACGATGGGCTAACTGACCTGACCTCATGCTCATCTTATCATCCTCCACTGGTGCCCCGCCAGCGTAAACCGTTAGCGCAGGCGGGAGCACCAATCCATTATCATCCATTAAAAAAAAAAACAACAGTAAACTAGCTGTTCCCGCGACTTCATTGGCGTAGATAGCATTTTTAATTAGTTAAGCTATTTATATAACACATACATTCTTTAATAAGCTTTAAGAAAAAAGATTCATCGTTCTAGCTTCAAAACTTACGAATTTCTATATAATCATTTCATCCCCTATTTTATTTTCCCTTCCTTGGGTTAAAATTTTTAAAAACTTTCAATTTTTAAAAAAATTATTAATATTGCTTTATTTGCATTGCTCCTAGCATTAAAATGACGATACTTCCAAACAATTTCCATCTCTCCTTTTAACCCTTTTTCACATTTTGGATTCTTCAAGTCTATAGTCTATGGTGAATGGATATCTTCTGGGTAAGCGCGCTACCTCCTAGGTCTTGCCATCATTTACCATCAGATGAGGTAAGACCAAGCGCAATCCCTTTATTAATAAAAAAATAAAATAAATAAAAATCCTTTCTCAGAAAGTTATAGACTACCTGTGTACCAAGTTTCATTTATTTGGTATACAGATAGTTGATAATCGGTTCAATAGTTTTGGCGTGAAAGCGACAATGACAGACAGAGTTACTTTCGCATTTATAATATTACTAGCTATCCACCCCGGCTTCGCACTTCGCACGGGTGTACTTGTATTATACATATAAACCTTCCTCTTGAATCACTCTATCTGTTAGAAAAAACCGATTCAAAATCCGTTGCGTAGTTTTAAAGGTTTAATACATATAGGGACGGACAGACAGCGACAGCGACTTTGTTTTATACTATGTAATGATAATATTGTAAAACTTTGTGAGTAGTGAAACGAATAGGAGCTGAGTTTCTTGCCAGTTCTTCATCTCGAAATCATTCCGAACTGATGGTAGATTTGACATATCATAAGAGTCTGTAATAGATCTACATTAATTAAAATACATATAAACCTTCCTCTTAAATCACTCCATTTTTTAATTAGTAAAATTTGTACTTCTGCATCTCATGCTTGCTATGTGTTTGTAATTGATGAATAAAGCATTTATCTATCTATCTATCTAATAAATAATAACAAATTTATTGAAATGGCAAACAGCCTACCTGAAGTAGTTACTAGAAGTTCATCAACATAAACAGCATTATGAATATTAGAGGCTCACATAAAACTGTTCATTTAACGTAAACTATTAGTTATGTTTGATGCAATACCAATGCAATATCATGAGAATAAAAAGTGAAATACCATTAATAATTCTAATGCCTATAAAGTTATACAACTCTACGCCTGAATGGTTGTCAATTCAGTTATTAGTTACAATAGATTGCAAATCTTCTAGATTTAGTATATTCTATTTATATTTTCCTCTTTATTTAATACTAGCTATGCCCGCGGTTTCACCGTTAAATTTCAATAAAAAATATAGCCTATATGTTATTCTGATGCACAAGCGAAGCTATATTACTGTAAAGTTTATCCAATGAACTTAGCTTAACTTAGCGGACCTACATATCCCCTGTTATGTTTGATGTTTTAATAATTTTATTAAGAGAAAGACACAGTTCAACCATCAACATTTAATCTAACAATGCTTGTTGCAACTCAGTGTTGCCAATCTATTACTGACAATTTGACAATGACAAATCCTGAACTGACATTTACCATAGATTAAATATAACATCCCCTTTTCCTTAAGCTAAAAACGGGCAGCGTTGCCCTTACAGGAGATTGTATTTGATAAAGGTCTGTTGCATGTGAGTGTTTGTGATAAAACTCCTTTACTCATTTAGAAATGGCTTTATCGGATTTTGCGTGTATTTTCAACAGGTTTGAGAATAAGACGTAAACTATATAAGTGATTACATGTAAATTAGAGTATTTTTTTTTACAAAAAATACAAAAATAAAGAAAATTTAAAAAAGAAATATATTATATTAGGCATTAAAAAGTACATACAACCTTGAATATTCACCTTTCTACTATTAGTCTCTTCTTTTTAATAGGAATATTATACTAATATGGCAAAACTACGTTTGAGGGGTCAGTTAGTCTGCGAATATGGATGGATAGCTGTTTGTTACTCTTTCACACAAAAACTGCTGAATGGATTTTAATGAAAGTTTACGTTAATATAGCTTATACATCAAAATAACACATAGACTAAAAAAATAATGCGGGTAAAATCGCGGGCACATCTAGTATTACTCTATTTGTTGATAACGTCAACGTCCTATCTTTGTAACATAATACGTTGTCGATCAAAAATGAGTTATATAGTCTCTTATCCTAGACCTATTTCGTGCGAATGTTGCCTTCATTAAAATAGAACAATTTATGATAGTAAATTCCAACATACGCATTTTAATGAACTAATAAATTGTATATTGGTGAATGGAACGTCCGCTTTTAAACTATTAGATTGATGTAACTGACAGTGGACAAGTATTTGTAGCAAATTACGTGCAATAACTAAAGTTGAAGGCATATCTACAGATGCATTTTGCGCAAGTGAGGAAATGCCTACAAAATTATATACACTAGTGGTGGGACCACTAGCTCGAAATTCAAGCATAATTAATTTAATTACAAGTTTGAATATTTTTAAGTTCCATTTTCAAGACTATACATAAATAATATTATTGTGAACTCCATGGTATCATACTGGCCACTTAAAAAGTCACTCTTTTACAAAAAACAAAAATATGTGTGTAATTTTAATTATTATTTTGTGTCATAAAAAACAACATTTTATTTTACCTCCTTTTTGCATAGTTTTATTTTATATAGTTATCGAATACCCCATAAATTTAAGACAAACAATATTAATCTATTCTCATATTGAACACAGAATTTAAGAATAAACCAAAGAGTAATGTTTTATTTATTGATTTCAAGTATTTTTTATGCATAATAAAAAAAATGGTATCCTGTAATGGTACCCCACTCTTTCTCTACATAAATTATAAGTTAGAGATGATTTCTACTTCAACGTCCGCGCAATTTTCGTAGAAAGATATACAAAGTTTTTCATTTACCTATGTCTTCAAATCGTACAATAAAAACTTGTTTGACATTAATCTCATTCATCCATTAATTCTATTGTTTGTGTAAAATCGTCAAACCTCTCTCTCTCTCTCCGTCTCTCTTACTAGCTATGTATGCCACATGGTGGTGTACAATAGCTTTCCTTGTTTATCTGCCACTTTTCCATATCCCAGACATCGTCTTCAGAACCCTCGCATACCATGTCTCCAGCAATTACATCTTCCCACCCCTTCCTTGCCTTAACAAAATCGTCAAATGTAATACAAAAATTCCGTTTATAAAATGCATAAAATCGAACATGAATATCCTATTATATTTAAGTAGGCTAAAAAAGAGGATACAGACTATAGAACGCTCTCTCAATGTGTTCAACATAACAAGTGAAGCGTTTCATTACGTTATACTATGATACGGTTCTAGCGAGCTGGTCGATGTCGTCCGTAGATAAACGATTATATGGAAGTAATCGACACAAACAAACTGATTTCCTCAATATAGATTGTTCCGCAGATTTGGGTAATGTATAAGGTGCTTATAATTATATATTTATACTAGTTGAGACTTAATCCGCGAGGCTTTTAACTGTCAATTAATTTATCAACATAAATAAATTATCTAAAATATAAGTAGTCTAAGTTACTTATAATATTTGTTATCTGCGAGTGAAACTCACATCTACATCGGAACAGTCGTTTTAAAGATTAACAAGAACAAACAGACAGACAGATAGAGAATATTTTTTATTAATTATCTGCAAATGCAACTTTCATTTGAATCTGGTCAGCCGTTTCAAAAATTAGCAAGAACAAACAGATAGACAGACAGAATTTAAAATCAAGTTTTTTTTTAGATTTAGATTAGATTGTTGTTGTAGTAGATGAATATTTAAAGTTATAAAACATATCAGGAGAAACCAAGGGCATCGTATGTAGACATGAGAATCTGTCTAAGGCCAATGCACCAGAGCCAGTGGGCCGCGTGTGGGACCACAATAGCGAACGATCTATTGTTTAACAACTACCTCTATTTAATAGACAAAACCTTCAGAACTAGTATGCAATTGAGCGAAGATTTATAGATAATTTAACTTTTATAGTTGCTCTTTTTATCATGAAACTATCGTATTACTCTCGCATCACTTTCATTTGTTTTTTGCATGTTTATTGTGATGATATAATACGGTAGTACCAAAGCGACAGCTTCGATTGATGTTTTATTTAGCGTAGCAGCGTTTGTTAACCTCTTTCAGGCGGGAATTGGCCTTCAGCTGCTCCATAAGTCCTTACGCGACTTTGGAGTGCCATCTACACTCGTCGCCTATCGTCCGGTGAAGCTGTAAAGGCCAGCTGCAGCCAACAGTATTAGAGTAGTCCGAAAAAAACTTTCAGTCCACAGACCTCTAGGAAATCCATCACAGTTACAAGAATAATAAACAACAGACGAATAAATATCCAACAGTTTATTTTAATAAAAAAATAACTATCCTAAAGAAGCATATCCCAGCACTATTACAAGATCCCCCTTAGTTAAAAAAACACACGAATCAATATTGAACACTTTATTTTAGTAAAAAATGCTAAAGCGTAGCGATTACGAGACTCGCTGTTTCTTTCCCATTCCAAATTCAAATTTAATAAATATAAATGTACATAGTTTAGTTTTTTTTCTTTTCTTTTGGCTCCGTCGGATGTAGTTCAGTTTTCTATTCCAAATTCGAAATTTTAAAAATATGAACGTAAGACAGTTTTTACCCCATTCCAAATTTAAATAAATAAAATATTTACCTGGTGTGGCTAATGTGATAACAGCTATCAGTAGTGATAAACACGTTCCGATATCCTGCAAAGAAAGAAATTAAATGTTATTTATCGTAGCTCATTTTTGTTTGTTCAATAGGTTCTGTCCAGGACTTTATCTACATGGCCAAAATATATAATAATAATATATCAGGACTATTCTCACAACGCCATCTAGTCTAATCTATGTACTAGACAACTGATAGAAATACATAGATACATTTTTCTTGTTAAATACATACGTAATATATATAGAAAACACTGACCGTTACCAAAATACTCATGAACACAAATGTTTATACAGTGCGAGGATCGAACCCGCGACCATCGGAAGTAAGGCGGTGTGCTAAACCGCTAGACCACCGAGGCCATATATTCATCCGATATAATTAATCAAACAACGTCCATTATAATTTTTAAAAAGTACGTTGAAATAAGAACCTCCACCTTTCATAGTCGGTTAAAAACTACACAATATTCATGTACCAAATAACATACAAAAAAAATTAACATTTCCCTATATAATTACAAAACAAATGCACATTCCATTGTCTATTGTTCGTGATGACATTTAAGACTGAAAAAGGTGCGCAAGCGCATCTAACGCGTTGATGTCTTTTACATAATGACTTCACGATGTGGTGTAACAGTCGAAGTAGCGTAATAATCGATGGTAATGATATAACTAATAGACAAAATCAAAGTATAAGTAGTGTAATATATGGTTTATGGTACCAACCATAAATATCCGACATCAAGTTATCATGTTATATGATGACTTGATGTCGGCTTCCCCTCCGACCGATCCCCCGTCCAATTCAAACGGGGATCGAAATTACGACGGCCTGAGCCGAGGTTCGAACCCCTAGTGGTGCCCTCAGACTAAAGTCGTATCCGTCGGGCAGGAGTTGGCCTTCAGCCGCTCCATAAGTCCTTCCGCGGGTTTGGAGTGCCATCTGCACTCGCCCCATAACGTCCGGTGAAGCTGTAAAGGCCAGCTACGGCCAACAGCTTTAGAGTAGTCCGAAAAAAAAAAACTTGATGTCGGATATTTATGACCTATAGAATGGGTGATATGGGCGTCATATGATAACGTGGTATCCGTAGTGCAGATCAGTCATCACGAAGTGGTGAATGAGACTGAAAAAGGTGCGCAAACGCATCTAACGCGTTGATATCGATTCTATAGTATAAGTAATGTAGTTTATGGTATATATTTATGGGTTTTATGGGGTATCATGGGCGTCATGTGATAACGTAATCTAGTACTGATTATGTATATATGCGATGCTTACCACTAATCGTCAGTCGATGTAAACAGTGCTTGTATTATGGGTACTAGACAAGTTATGGGATAAGACAATATAAATACATAGATTGTTAATAATAATATACATATATAAATATATATATATATATATATATATATATATATATAAAATAATCATATTTGTAGTGTATTATGTGAGTAGTTTGCTGTTTATGTTTTCAATATTACCCTCAACTCTCAATAAAGTAGTATTCATCTTACAAGCTTGTGTTTCACTACAATATTTATGAATGTGCGAGAAATCGAACCCGCGACCGTCTGAAGTATTATCTATATGCAGTATGCTAACTAAACTGCTTTACCATCAAGGCCGTTATATATATATGTAACGAGTTATATTTGTCTATCTATAAATATTTTTGTAGATATATATCCTACTATAATACTAATTATAATAGATACCTCTATGAATAGTGATTAAAAATGCATGTAGCATATCCATTCCTTTACCGTACTAAGTGCAATTACTGTTACATTAAACTGCTTTAACCATTATAAAACATATAGCTTTATAAATACGGTTCAATGTTGCATAACAGTCAGTTGCAGTTCTAGCTGTGCCAACAGGACATAGTGACAGTCATCGTTCAGAACTGAATTTACAATGAATAATATTAATATGAATATTTATAAGTCGTTTAGTAGTTTACTACCGCTCGTATTTGAAACCTTATTTTCCCATTTTCCCGTGGGAATTTCGGGAAATCCTCATATAGATCACGCATATCGCAAACGTATGTAAAATACAGTTAAATTAACTATATTTAAATTATTCGTCAAAACGTGTACCATTATATAGTATAAAACAAAGTCCCTGTCGCTGTCTGTCCGTCCCTATGTATGCTTAAATCTTTAAAACTACGCAACGGATTTTGAAGCGGTTTTTTTTTAATAGATAGAGTGATTCTAGAGGAAGGTTTATATATATAATACATGTACACCCGTACGAAGCCGGGGCGAGTAGCTAGTATAGTATAATATAAATCTAACCTGGCAGGGGACGATCCTACCGCCATCTCTAGGACAAATTTTGTTTAACTGAGATCCATCATCATCCACTGGGAAGACCTGGGAAGACTGGAAGCAAGGTGGACTAACGATCTGGTCAAGATCACTGGCTCGATGGATGCGAGCAATGTAGGCCCGATCGTCGTGGAGATCTTTGGTCGAGCAGTGGACGTCTTCCGGGCTGAGATGATGAGATCCATCATCGGAGAGTCCAACAGTAATATAAATCATTACATAGTATAAAACAAAGTCGCTGTGGCTGTCTGTCCGTCCCTATGTATGCTTAAATCTTTAAAACTACGCAACGGATTTTGAAGCGGTTTTTTAATAGATAGAGTGATTCTAGAGGAACGTATATAAACGTTACTACATATAATATATGTAATTATATGTAGTTAATACTATATGTATTATTTATACATGTGCGACCCGGGCGCAGCCGAGGCGAGTAGCTAGTAGAAATAGAAATAATCTTTATTCAAATATACCTACTTAATATAAACACTTTTGAATAGTCAAGTTTTTTTATTCTACCGCTTATTCGGAATGCAGATTCATCACAAGAAGAATAAGCAAGAAGCTTGTGTATTGCTCTTTTAAAAAATTGTAGTTATTATATTGGCATGACCAATAAATTATTTCCCCTCTGGCTACAATTGATTCACGTTAAGTGGAAACTATCTCGACTGGTCCGCCCCCCGCCGACACCGGAAAGTGCCTCATTATCTGACATAACCGTTCGGCATCGCTACTTCGTATTAGATAATTGCATATGTTACGCATCGAATTGCTTATAATTTCGTTACATCAAACATTTACAATCTGTGCTCATCCAGTTTACATCGATGTGTGGATCTGTGGTGAAATTGGGCCTCGTATAATCTGTTGTCTATGATTGGCACATTTTATGGACGGCGGCAAGTATTTTTATCGAAATTAAGTATTATGGGTATCTTGTGTTATGGGTATGTACTAGACAACAGATACAGAAACATATATCAGTTGTCTAGAACCCATAATAAGCTCTACTTAGCTTGGGTCTAGATGTTTTTTTAAGCACTTTTCACACAGCGCCGCTTAGTCCCAAAGTAAGCATGTTATGGGTACTAGACAACTGACATATTTTTGTAAATACATACATATATAGTATACATAGAAAACACCCAGACCTATACAAATAATCATACTCATGAATACAAATATTTGTATCGTGTTAGGAATCGAACCCGCGACCATCAAAAGTAAGGCGGTGTACTAAACCGCTAGACCCCTGAGGCCATCACCTTAGTTCTCTGCAATGGAACATGAGGGAAACCACTGACGTCACATGATGATGTAATTGATAGGTATATAAGATATGTTTGAGTTTTCAGTTGAGGTTATTTGCTAGTCCTCTTACAAAAAAATACCACAAAACAAAGTCATAAACCATTCTGCTGTACACAAACAATTTCTTTGTGCGCAAAACTAATTATTTAAATACGGGAGATATAGTACTTATGTAACTTTAACGTTAAAACCGTAGTACGGTAAAGTATATCTTTTTTACCTATTGGTTAATTTGACATAGATATCCAACAGCGTTAAATAGTTACAAATTTTTATGTTACTAAATAACTATATACTCATCTCTTTACATATGCTATAAAATATTATTTGTGATTTATTTTAGTAGAGTTATTGTTATACAAAAACTTCATTGTAGGTACTAGCGGAATCCGCAAACGTTGTTTTTGTTATAAAAAATTATATCATTATTAAAAAAGGGTTGATGATAGAAGGGTGAAAATTTGAATTTGTATGTAGTTTTTTAAATCATAATAAAAAAATATTTTGGGGTGGGAGTGACCCACTCTGATCAGCGAGGGGTATGACAAATATATGTTGTCTGATTCTCAGACCCACCCAATATGCACACAAAATTTCATAAAACCGGGAAAGCCGATTCTGAGGATTTTGATAATAAACATCGCGACACGAGAATTTTATATATTAGATATATTTTGTTAAACATTCTATCTGTAATTTTCTCTATTCATATGTTTATTAACAAAAAGTTTTTATTTCAATTTCCCGCCAAAAATTATGTACAGATTAAAAACAAAGTAGCCATCAAGTGGCCAGTATTATTACTGAAAACTATCACTTCGCGTGTTATAAAGTATTATTTTCTAATGACAAAAGCCCATAGACAATGACATCAGAAACAAATGTTACATAATTGTGAGAGATATTCATCACTTAGGAATATTACTGTAATACACTGAGCATATATGTGCAAGCCCAGAAAATTGTTATGTAAAATGGAGGAAATATAGGCTTGTGTGGCAATTATGTTATACAATGTGCAAAGAAAATATTTTCTCTGTAAGTGATTTAGCAATTGTTCAATTGTAGCTATTTTTCTTGTTTATAATGCTGTTTATAATGAGCAGGTCTTTACAGTTTTACCGACCGATACGGGGGCGAGTGCAGATGGCATACCAAACCCACGGAAGGACTTGGAAGGAGCGGCTGAATGGCAACTCCTGCCTGACGAATATGTCTTTAGTTCGAGGGGACCACTAGATTTGAATTTGGACTTAGGCCATCGTAATTACGATCCCCGTTTCAATTGAACAGAGCATCAATTGGAGGGGATTATTTTCTTTGTAATGATGTCGTAGATTTATAGAATTGAGTGGAGTAAGTCAATATTTGAAGAA